TCTTGAATGCATCCCACCTGAATTTAGAGACCATCTCAAGAACAGATTTGATGCATTAGACAGTAATGACCAAAGACAGGAAGAGTGTGGGATGACATCAAGAAATTCATACAAGAAGCAAGTAAAGGTCATTAAAAGAAAAGGCAAAAATGGATGTTGGAAGAGACTCTGACATTTGCTCTTGAGCATAGCAAAGCTAAAACAAATGGAAATAAGGAGGTAAAAGGTGAACAGAAAATTCTAAAGGGTGGCTAAATAAGAAAAACTAAAATATTATAATGCAACATGCAAAGACATGGAGCTAAAACCCAAAAAGGTAAGAACATTCCCAACATTTATCCATCTGAAAGAACTGAAGAAAGATTCAGACCTCGACTTTAAATATTACAGGATTCTTGGGCAAAATATTGAATGATGCAGAAATTATCAAGACGATAGAATTTATGCACAGAATCCAGTACCAAATTTTTTTTTTAAAAAGGGTCTTTGTTCAACCATTTGAAGATTTAGCATATGATCAATAACCGATAGTACCCAAGGAAGAATTCCAAGATGCACTGAAGTCTGAAGTCATCAGCACAAACAGTGCTCCAGATACAAATGAAAATCTTTCAACACACTGACATAGCATTGGAGACATTCACTCATATATGTCAAGAAAATTGGAAGACAGATACCTGGCCAGCTAATTAGAAAGGATCCATATTTGTGTCCATTCCAAAGAGGTTATGCAAGAGAATGCGGATATCATTGAACCATATCAGTAATATTTCATGCAAGTAAAGTTTTGCCGAAGATAATACAATACTGAATGTAGAAGTACATGAACAGAGAACTGCCAGAAATTCAAGCTAGAATTAGAAGAGGACATGAATATAGGGATACGATTTCTGACATCAGATAGAGCTTGGCTGAAAGCAGAGACTACCAGAATGATATTTACTTGTGCTTTATTGACTGTGCAAAGACTTTTGACTGAGTGGATCATGTCAAAGTATGGATAGCATTTCACATAATGGACATTCCAGACAGTTAATTGTGCTGACAAGGAACTTGTACTGACAAGGAACTTGTACATAGAGCATGAGGCAGTTGATCTAACAGAACAACGGAGAGCAGAATGTTTTTAAACCAGGAAAGGTGTGTGCAAGGTTGTATCCTTTGAATATATTTATTCATTCTGTGTGCTGAGCAAATATCTAAGAAATTGGATTATAAAAAGAAAAACATAGCATCAGAATTGGAGGAAAGCTCATTAACAACTTGTGATATGCAGTTGATACAACCTTGCTTACTGGAAGTGAAGAGTACTTAAAATACTTACTGATGAACATAAAGATCACAACCTTCATTATGGATCACACCTCAATGTAAAGAAAACAAAAATCCTCACAACTGGACCAAGAAATAACATCATGATGTTGTTGTTGTTGTTATGTGCCTTTGAGACAGTTCCAACTCACAGTGACCATGTCTAGGGTTTCCAAGGAGCAGCTAGTGGGTTTTAACAAACCAATCTTGCAGCATAAACCAACCTTGTGTTTAAGTGCATTATCCTGCAATGCCACACCAACATCATGATAAATGGAGAAAAGACTACAGTTGTCAAAGTTTTTTTGTTTTGTTTTGTTTTTTGCTTGGCTCCTAATTAACACTCATGCAAGCAGCAGCTAAGAAATAAAATGATTAATTGCATTAGGCAAATCTGCTGCAAAAGACCTCTTTAAAATATTCAAGAGCAGAGATGTAAGTATGAGGAATAAGGTGCACCTAACCCAAGCAATGGTATTTTCAACAGCCATGTATGCATGTGACAGTTGGACAATGAATAAGGAAGACCATAGAAGAATTGGTGCTTCTGCATTATGGTGTTGGAGAAGAATACTGAAAGTACCACGGACTGCCAGAAAAACAAACAAATCTGTATTGTAAGAAGTACAGCCAGAATGTTTCTTAGAAGCCAGGATGATGAGACTTTGTCTCTCTTATTTTGGACAGGTTATCAGGAGGGCCAGTCCCTGGAGAAGTACATCATGCTTAGTAAAGTGGAAGGTCAGTGTACCAGACGAAGACTCCCAATGAGATGAATTGACAAAGTGGCAGCAGCAAAGGACTCAAACAATTGTGAGGATGACACAAGACTGGGTAGTTTTGTTCTGTTGTCCACAGCATTGCTATGAGTCAGAACAAACTAGATGGCACCTAACAACAGCATCAGATAAAGATTAAAGGAGTACAAAGAGTTATACTAAATCATTTCAAGAAATAACATATGATCAAAAGCCAATGATACAAAAGTTCAAGCTGCACTGAAGGCACTGGCAAGGAACAAGTGTCCGTGAATTGATGGAATACAAATTGAAAACTTTCAACAGAATTATGCAGCTCTAGAGCTAAATAGGGCAGAGGTAAATAGTGATGTATGATACCTTGGAACAATAGGGCTCTGTGATACAGGGATAGAGACATAGTCTGAATGGGAAAAGGAAGGGCAAAAAATGTTAAGCTGCTTGACTGTCTTATGAATATTTGCTTCCCTTGCCTACTATTGTAAAATAGACACTTGAATGGGATATAAAGGAATACCAGGAAACATGATTTCAGAAAGCTTATAAGCCCGTCTTCAGCCTATAAATTGATTGGCATACCTAAAGGGGATTCTAGAACTTGCCCAGTAAAATAGGATTCTTGTGGAGCCTTTGCAGAGTATAGGACCTTAGGTGGAATCATGAGCCCTATCCAGAGCCTTCTGAGGTGGGGCATTCTCACTGGAAAGGACAAGCAGACCAGCTGGAACAGAAGATATTTCTTGAAAGAAAGCCCAGCAGGAAAAATGCAAAACAAAAATGGCAGAACGATTGGTTACATGATTCGCTACTACAAAAATAAGAAAGTTGTTCACCAGGGATCCATTAAGGCAAGCAATCAAGTCCCTTCAGGACAAATCCCCTAAGAATGGAACTCAAAGAGAACACATGAATAGACATGTAAGATTGCTGGTGACTACATTGGTCAACATGTAAGTGGAAGAGGCGGAAAGCAATGAAGAAATAAGCGGAGTACAAACGCATTCCATAGACTCCCGTTGACCTGGAGATGAGAGAGAGAAGAGGAAGGGCTGGTTGGTCCAAAGTGTGGTTAGACCTGGGGACTCTTGAGTCCATGGACGAGGACATAGCTACAGAGGGCTAGAGCTGAGAGTAAAGAGTCCAGCTGATATGAAGTGAAATGCACATAATGCCCAAACTTGTAAATAGTACTCATTTGACTTAGCCTCAATGGTTTGATGACCAGAACTCAAATAAAGAAAGACCAAAAAAAATTTTTTTTGATTAAAAAAAAATGCAAATTGCTAAAATGTGATGAACTTGATGTAGTAGCTCAAAATACCAACCGAGAGGGAAGGAATCTTCAAATCAAGTGTCAGTGCTATCCCCTCTGTATACAGGGTAGATAGGGATGGGCAACTTAGACACTGGCTACCTAAAATGGGGTTGGGGGGCTATAAAGGCACAAAGTGACTGGCTTACAAGTTTTCAAGAGGGAGTGGAGTTTCAGAGTGTGCAGAGCAAGGTAGAATCCCCACTGAATAGTTTTCATCTTATCTAGATGGATCTGGTAAAAGGAGATAGGGATAAGATTCTTATGACTCAATAGTGAATAATTGTTATCATGGCTAATTACGGTTGCCACAACTGTAAAGGTAGACATTTTATAACAAAAAAGGTGGAGTAGTTAATCTTACATTCCAGAAACAGAAGATTCTAGGACCATGAAGGGAGAAGAGTGTGAATGGAATGTGGGACTCTCTCCAGAGATAGAGTCTATTCAGTGACACCAAAATGAAGGCAGAGATGAGGACACGGAGAGAAGAGCAGCTGAAGTCTCTAGACTCATGGAAAGAGAAAGACTATGTGCTGGCAGCCAAGAAACAGGCTTGCAGAATGTGCCCTTTGATTGTTTAAATTATTATTCCTGAGTGGTTTTGTGTACATCCTCCCCTCCCCACTCTATAAATAAATAAACAGCAGAGAGAATGGAAACAAATACTGTTGAATGATCATGCACGGAGGGGATTGTAGTGTTTGCAAAGAAATGATGAGTGTAAAACCAATGTTCTCCCATGTAAACTATCACTCAATTCACAATAAAAATAATAAAATAAAATAAAATGATGCACGCGCGCACACACATGCACACACACACATATATAGTGCATTTTACAAGGTCTTTGAATCTGATTGTTTCCTTTTCCTGGAGTACTATTTCCTCAGATGTCTGCATTTGCAATTTCCTGTACCTTAGTAAAAATTTTGCTGAAATGTTATCTTTTTGCAGAGGACTGTCCTGATTACTTCTATCATAAAATGCAATGGAAATGTTTATGCCCTGTAGTTGCAGTACTTTTATTTTTTCCCATTTCGTTTCTCATCTAATGACATAGTATATCATTTTAATACTTTACTTATACTTGATTTTTTCTTTGTCATCATTCTCACCACTATAATATATGCTCCACAAGGACAGGGTACATTCCAAGCTCCTAAAATAGAGTCTGGTACACAAGTGGCAATCTTAAATTATTTGGTGAATTAGTGACTGAAAATAATATGCAACATGTAATTAGTTGGGTCTTTTCAAATGCACTGTCTACTTCATGTAGAGTCTCATCTTGCCTACCATTTACTCTTGAGAACTGAAGAGAAGTAAATTAGAATACAGGTAGAATGGATATTTCAAATAATAAAAACACCATGTTAATGACAGAGAAATTAGTCTGAGATGGCGAAATAAGGTTTGTTGTTTAGAAAGAAAACACTATTAAAGGGCATGTTTTCTGCTCGTCTTCAGTTAGTAACACTCATATCCATTCTCCCTGCCTTTCATCCATACTACCCTTGGTAAAAATCTCAGCTTTAGAAACTCCTAGGAGGAAAATTGAAAATATTACAGTTTCTTTGGAAGAAGATTGGGTAAGCAAAACGGGAGAAAATACGCACAGCTTCCAAACTTCAGTGGGCAGGCATGTACATCCATGGGGAAATCTTCCAAATGCATGGGGCATTCCGCATGAATTGTTAACCTAAAAGAGAAGAGAAGAGAAAATGAAATTAAACTAAAGCAAACAGTATTCAACACGGAGCTCAATTCCTATTCTCCACCAAAAGAGTGCTCCTAAGAATCACAGTAGATTTATTTGTTTAGATTCACTGAGACACAAGTCTTTATGAGCACAATGGATAGATTCAGTGGACTAGGAAGCCTCTCAAAGTAGTGCATGGTATGGAGATATTTAGATCAGCCCAGAATCCTATCCTGCCACCTTTAGAAAAATAAGTATAACTTTTCTTGTCTAAATGTGATCCCTTAATCAGCCCCCAAGAAGCCTGGAAACACCAGGGCACTGACTCATTCTCTCCTGATCACAGTTTAGTTATCTCTGAAATTGGGTTAATAATCCTGATTCTTCTCAGCAGGCTATCATGCAAGTCAACCAATTTAAAGATTGCACTGGAAAGGAGACATGTATAGAAAGAATGTCTTTACCCTGATAATGACAGACACAAAAGATGGTTCTGTTGCTCACAGCAACTGAAAAAGATGACTCTTAAAGTACATACACACAACAGAAAATTTAACAGTAAAGGAGGACACCAGAGACCTCTGAGGGCAAATCTGAATAGCTCATTCTTTTCCAACATGTGGGAGCACTAGAATGGATTCCTCAATGGGAATCTGTATGGGGTCTGATTTACCCTGTCCACATACCCAGGTGGGAGGTCCTGGAAGCAGTATTCTCTCATCTTACAAGGTGGTTTAATATCCTTTCCTCCTTTCCACTTTTCTCCCTCTCAGAAATAGTTTTTATAAAATCCTATAATGTGCCAGTTCCTGTGTTCAGTTATAGTGGTGGAAATGACAAGCTTGGTACAGAGCCTTAGTGTCTTTTCTTTCTAATGGAGGGAGAAAAATAAGTATATGTGTGTATGTACATACAAACTGTGATCAGAACTATGAAGAACTCGAAACTATGAAGAACTGAGAATTCGAAACACTGTATCGGACAAAGAATAAGCCCCACTTTCCTTTTGGTCACTAACTTGGAACTTATAGCCACGTATTAGAAATGTAGTAAAGTGGTCAGGGTGTGCCCTTTGGAATCAGATGGACTTGGCTTCGAATTCTAATCCCATCCATTTAAGAATGTGAGATCATATAGACACAACTCGTACTTTCTGTTCACTGCTGTATCCCCATTAAGCAGTACAGTGGTGGGCATATTGTTGTTGTTGTTAGGTGCTATTGAGTCAGTACTGACTCATAGCGACCTTACACACGGCAGAATGAAACACTGCCTGATCTTGAGCCAACCTTACCACTATTGCCACACTTGAGTCCATTGATCCTGCCTCTTGGCCAATCCATCTCATTGGGGGTCTTCCTCTTTTTCTCTGACCCTACACCTTACCAAACATGATGTCCTTCTCCAGAGACTGCTCCCTCCGGACAATATGTCTGAAGTATGAGAGACGAAGTTTGGCCATCTTGGCCTCCATGGAGCACTCTGGCTGCACTTCTTCCAAAATAAATCTATTGGTCCTTTTGGCAGCCCATGGCACTTTCAATATTCTCCTCCAACACCATAACTCAAAAGCATCAATTCTTCTATGGTCTTCTTTATTCACTGTCCAGCTTCTGCATGCATATGAAGTTACTGAAAATACCATGACTTGGGACAGGCGCACCTTAGTCCTCAAGCTGACATCTTTGTTCTTCAACACTTTAAAAAGGTCGTGTGTAGCAAATTTGCCTAATGAAATACGTCACATAGCAGGAATTAAAAATGGCTTCTAAATGAATGAATGTATGAATAAAAGTAGTTAACACCACTTGGACCATATAGAAAGAAGTTGTACATTAGGCTGAAAAAGTAGATGTTGTAGCGCTGTGAATACTATTAAAACTGAAAACTTGCTGTCTGATGGAAAGCTCCTTATGAGGCCTATGATTCCTCTTTTTAGAAACGTGAAAATAGAATGGAGAAGGACTTTCCTGGGATCACATATATATTTGGACAAAACCTGAGAATTTAATTCTATCATGACTTCTAGATCAGAGTATTCTCATTTCATAGTACAGGAAAGGTACATACATAGTTAAGGTACGCCTTTCTAGGTGAAGTTTATGGCTCAAAGTAGTTAGAGCAGAATTCTTACTTTTACTGTTACTTACTTGTTTACATAAGGAGAGGCTTTCCAGTTCTGACAAAGCCTTGAATTTTAAGATGTGGGTGAACACTGCTGTTTTTCAAACTTACTTAGAAATTAAAGCCATGGAAATAAAAGACCAAGGTACCCAAGACCAAGTAAGTAGTTTGTTGGAATTTCCTCTATGAAATTTTGGAGAAATGACCTTCAGATCGGGCATCCACCTGAAATGTTACATCTTTATAGGCAAGACTGCCCAATAGAACCTTAGGAAAACATCACCATGCCACATATAAACATCTTCTGCTTTCTAGTTTATATATGAAAAAAATAAAAATTTATTAAGGTACAGTTTACATATAATGTTGAGGTTGCTATGTGTGTCTCACTTCCATCTCACGACAACATTGTATAGAGTTTCCGAGGCTGTGAATCTTTCCAGGGGCAGAAAGCTTCATCGTTCTCCAAAGGAACAGATATTGAGCTCAAATTGCCCACCTTGTGCTGTTTATCCTACAGAGTCACCATGGTCTCCTACATATAATAAAATTCATTGTTTAAAATCATATGAATTGATGAATTTTGACAAATGTATACACCCATGTAACTACCATCAGATCAAAATAGATAGCATTTCCATAACCCCCCAAACTTCTCCTCATGCCCCTTTGCAGTCGGTCCTCCAGTCCCCAGGCCCTGGCCATAAGCAACTACTAGCTATATCCTTACCATCACTTGGCTTTTGCCAGTCTCTTTGGATTGTAGTCATTCTAGTAGGTGTGTAGTGGTATTTCCATGACAATTAGTGATGTTAAGCCTCCTTCCATATATGTCATTTTCTATGAAATGTCTTACAACTATTTGTCACATTAATATACTAGTACTTTGTGTTTTCATGCTATTGTGAAAGTTTTTTGTTTTTTTTTTTCATTTTTTCATATATACACAAATACTTGACTTCTGTACATTGATCTTGTATTCTGTGAACATGCTAAATTCAATCATAACTTTTGGTAGCTTTTTTTGATAAATTCCTTGGGATTTTTTATGTTAACAATCATGATGACGACTAATAAAGGCAGTTGTCCTTTATTTTATTTTGTTTTCTTCCTTTATTTTACTGGCTAAAACTTCCTATATAAAGTTTGATGTGTTGTTGTTGT